ATGTGATCCTCTCGATTGATGCAGAAAAAGCACTCAACAAAATTCAGTACCCTTTTGTAACAAGAACGATTAACAAAATAGGCATAGACAGGACTGACCTGAAAATAAAAAAAGCCGTATATGACAAACCCACAGCCAACATCATGCTGAATGGGGAAAAATTGAAAGCATTCCTGCTTAGAACTGGAACTAGATAAGGTTGCCTTCTGTCACCACTACTATTCAACATAGTGCTGGAAGTCCTAGCCAGAGCAATCAGGCAAGAGAAGAAAATCAAGGGCATCCAAATGGGGGAAGAAGAGGTCAAACTACCGCTATTTGCTGACAATATGATCTTATATCTAGAAAACCCCAAAGATTCTGCCATGAGACCACTGGAATTGATAAACAAATTCAGCAAAGTCTCAGGTTACAAAATCAATGTACAGAAATCAGTAGCATTTCCATACGCCAGCAACAGTCAAACTGAGAACCAAATCAAAGACTCAATACCCTTCATAATAGCAACAAAGAAAATAAAATATCTAGGAATATATTTAACTAAGGAGGTAAAAGACCTCTAGCTCCACCTCTATGACATGCATTACCAATGGAACCCCAACTCCCAGTATGTCCTGGCTTAGAAATGGCCTGTCTCTAGGGCTTGATGCCCATCTGAAGATCAACACTCAAGGAATGGTCCTCCATCTAATCAAAGCAGAGACTGAAGATTCAGGAAGATACACTTGTATTGCCTCAAATGACGCTGGAGAAGTCAGCAAGCACTTTGTCCTGAAGGTCCTAGGTATGTAAACATTCTGTTAAATATAAAATAATTGGGAAATAAGTGACATCCACAAATTTAAACAACTGCTAATTCAAAATACAGTATTCACCAGATGTGTGACCCACCAAGATAGAGGGCTAAGTTTTTGTACCCATGGGATTGACAGGGCCTAATGTGGGGCTTAGAAATCCATAGATTTTGGTATTCATGGGAATCCTGGAACTGATCCCTTGCAGAT